ACCATTACCTATCTGCTTATTCAAGTTTTGAGTCATGTAGGTGGCCTTTGCCTTTTAGTGGCCAAGCTAGGCATATTTCTCTTATCATTCTCAATGTCAGCCTTTCTTTTGTAGCCCAGTGCTCAGTTCTCTTCCTTGGGATTTAGTAGGTTGACTTCTTCATTGGAATAGGGGCTTCTGTGTAGTCAAACTAGTTATATTCTTCTGTTATTTTCTTTGTTCTCTGTCATAACCCGTCATTGAGTTTATAACCTTGCAAAAATATCCTTTGGCAGTCTTTGCCAGCAGTCTTGTAGTTCAGTCACTCAAGAAATATGTGATGAATGAGAGGAATTACATTTTTCACATTAATATGGGTTTTTAGATATAATTTCTCTTCTATATCTCACATCAATTGTAATGGGTAACATTGACATAAAAATATTGAGTTCATTCTAATTTTAGATGATTAAAAATAAGCATCTAAATGGTGGAAAAGGGTGTAGGTCCAGAACAGCATAGTCTTGAGGCTCACCCTTCCCTTTTCCTACCTGTCCTTTTGTTCTCGTTTAGTGGCAGCTCTCTTCCTTTCCATCTGACATCACTCTAGGCAAAGCCTCTTCACCCAGTTGCTGATTATTTTTTCCTTTTTCTTATTTTTTTCCTCGAAAGTAGGAAAGTAGAAAAGTTGTCTGGTGTGTAAAGTAGTCTTAATTTCTCTGGTAAAATGTTTAAATTAAAGAAATATAAATATAACTGATATTACAAAGGAAATCCCAACATTTATTAGGTACCTGAATATAAAAACCCTACTCTAGTTAAAGATACTACAGTGTTCCTATTAATAATAAAAAAAATCAATCATTCTTTCGAATTTTTTGTTTTCATGTGAAAGGGCATTTTCTTGCTATATTGCCTAGACTGCCTCAAGCTCACTATGTAGCACAAGCTGACCTAAAACTTGTAGTCCTGCTTCTGCCTTCTGGATGCAAGTATTGCAATCATACAATACCACCCTTCTAGAAGTACTTTTTAATGTGGTAAAATAATGTGTTGTTAAGTGTTAATTCATAAAGTATAAGTCTGCAAAAAGTTATTTATATTTACTGCACACTGAAAAGAATGAAAGACCCAAATCATTTTCTTAAAATCTTTCAGTCTCTTGTTAGTCTCTTCACAAAATAGAGGAATATGTTTGTGTCTTTTAAAGATCCATGCACCTTCTCATCCTCAGTTTTTTCCCAATTGAGCAAAGTGCTGCACTGTCCTTGGTCGCTGTGTAGTCAAGCTAGTTATATTCTTCTGTTATTTTCTTTTGTTCTCTGTCATAACCCGTCATTGAGTTTACAACCTTGCAAAAAAACAGCTAAATGATACTTGTTGGATTAAGCTCTCTTTGGAGTGATAATAGGTGATATTTGTAATTTAGTATTTAGTAATTCCCAATTTTACCTGGGATGTATCTTCTTAATCATCAAGAGTGGGGAGGGTGAACCACATATTGTCTCATTCCAGAATTGAACAGCCCAATAGATGAAATTCAATTAATTAATATGATCTGAGAAATTAGACTTTCACCACGCAAGTTAAGAGATTGTTTAGGAAAGTCCATCTAGGTAAGCAATATTATCTACATACCCATAAATGAACAAGTGTAAGTTTAGAGAAAGATGACCTGCTTGCATAATGCAGCCAATGGCCTAATAAGGCTATTCAAATCAGTCAAACAGTTTTACTTATTGATAAGTACTCATCACTTTATTTGGATGATCATATGTTGATGATACAGTTTTAGTTCTTTTCTTCTCTATCACTACAGAATAATATTTGGTACTAAAAATGCATAAAGCTGCAGAGTATCTATCAAGTAGCAGTAGCCTAAAAGTTGGAAGAAAAGAACAAACATTAGTAATGATAATTTAGTATAGGAATCACATCACAAAAAGAATTTTCTTTTTGTCGAAGTTCTGCTGAAGCTACATGAATTCTATTTAAGAATGCATTTAGTCATAAACATGTTTGTATATGCATATGTATGTAACAATGAAGAAAAAGAGGATGGGATATTGAAAGAGAACAGAGTTAGGAGTTCAAGGGAGGATTTTGATGGAGGAAAGAGGAGGGAATGATGGAATTATGTTATAATCTTTAAAAATTTAAAAATTAGAAATAATATAAATAAATCAGTACTGGTAAATCAAATATGCTGGATTACAATTTACTCTTGAGTTATCTGTAATAAAAGCATAGATTTTTAAAGAAAGTGAATTGCACAGCCAAACTGGTATCTCTATTCAATCTTATTTCCTGTTATATGGTAACTAATTGCAAGTATAGAGAAGCCTGCTGGGAAGATTTTTATGCTTCAAGCTAGAGAAAACAAAGTTCACTAGGGTTCACATGTGGTGGCCATGACAATGAAGGTAAGCCCTCTGCTCTGTATGTCAGTGCATATCCATACTATCTAAGATGCAAAAATAGAATCTCAAAGATCATGCTTATAGGTGAATTTCAGCATTTTCTTGATAAATAAAGAAAAGAGAGTGACAAGTATATGTTTTTTATTTAAACAACAGAAAATAATAAATTCTTTATTTTCAAATTCTTTGCAGGTATGAAGCAATGAAAGCATGTATATGGACATGATTTGAAATCTATGAGCTGATGTTAATGTGCTTATAGCATTGAGCCATTTTGGTTAAACAATTATAATAGCAACTTATTTGTACTTGGGCAAAGTGGTAATCTAATGATGTAGTCGTTAATTTGAATTTAGTAGACATTTTAAATATAGGGTTCTTTTACAAAGATAAAAGTTGCAATTTAAAGCTCTTTGGTGGTCTAAAAACAGCTTAATTCTGTAGTAGCATTGTAATAGGCACTAATCCAGCTTATACAATGATTGTAGTATGTCGTGTTTATGAACAATTGTCCAACTGCTCTCTCTGGGCTTTGTGTTAATTTAAAAATATTAAGCATAAAACCTTCTAAGATCTTCCTGCTGAGATAAACTGTTCAATTTAACTTGTGCTCAAGCAGCAACTGTCAGAAATTATCTTGCTCCTAGTGATTTTTGTTTTCACCTTACGCCTTTTCCTGCTAGAGTCCTCCTGTGGGATGATAAAGTTTATCTTATGAGGCTTTATTATTTAAATGGTACCTGAAGAAAGATTAGCGTGGGGAGCTGAGGGTTAGTTCCTGACTGAATGATGTCTTTCATTATGTAATGACCAACTTTTAAAAATTGGCAGTTTGAACCAAAGTAAAAAAAAGTCTGTGGATTGTAGCTAGCTGTATTCTTTTTGTGGGCATTCTCATTACTTAGCGTTATGGATAGAGCTAAAAATTCAAGGAGTTGCCTGTTCAGCTTGACAGTATATAAGTGAAAAAACAGAGAAATACTTAACTCGTAGATAGAGATAAAGGAATACTGTTTCAACATTTTTTTGTGAGATATAATTGATTTCTTAATGATTAAGCACACTAAAGGAAATGTTGGTGTTGTGGTGTCAAGTTAAGACTGAAATCTCATTGACATTTTTATTTTGACTGTATTGATCTATGGTGAGGAAAATCTTCCTGTATCAAAGTAGCAGCTGAATTATAGCTGGATAATATCTAAGATGATAGACTTGTTGTTTATGGAATGTTAAATGAATTTTTTCTTTTACTTAACAATATTCTTCCAAATCTGTCACTTTAACATATAGAACTAGAAAAAAGGACTTTGAATGGCATACACCTAATTCAGTTAAACTGAATTCCTGTTTATGCTACATAAACTTAGTAATAACCCTTGCTTTTTTGTGAAAGGCTTGTGCTGAGATTATGTAAACACATCAAGTTAACCATTTGGCTTCTCAACAAGGGTGTTTGTAGTCATAATAATAATCATTTAAGTAACAAGGATGTTATTTCGTAGTTAAGTCTAGACCAGCGTAAGTATTTGTATGGTCAGTCATCCTCCAGCAGCTGTAGCTGCGGTGCAGTTAATACATTGTGACAGTCTCTGCTCTGGCACTGACTACTAGTGTGAATGTAGAGAAAACTCAGTTTTTCTACACCTCAACTTTTAAAAATTACATTGGAAGGGTTATCTAAATGTCCTCAGCTGTCCAGGTGTTGCTCCTTTTTTGTCTCTATATGTGGTAGGCATCTCAACAGGGAGCCATTTCCAGGCTGTCTAAATCTCTTAATACTTCTTTTGTGTTTGTTTCTTTAATGCTGTGTGTATCACTCCGTGGAAGTCAGCATTCATCCTTCTGGGCTGTCTCAATCAACATTCTTGTTCTTCTCGGCTTGCCTCTGCCACTGAGTAGACATTTAAGTAAATGTAGAGTGTGAACAAATAGGTATTTTGACTTATTTATAAACATGGTTAGATAAACTTTCAGTTTTTTCTATAATAAACCATTTATCAAATTTTATTTGGTTTCTATAAGGGGTTTTTCATATCTAGTGTCAGCCACCAGCAGCCTAGTAGTAAAGAAAAATATATTTATTTTTCTTACTCTAAGGATTACAGGATACTTTAAAGGAGACTTTGAGAAAACATGCAAAAAGAAAAAACCACACTACATAAATACATTGCATAAATCAAAAAGGGTTTTGTCAAAACATGAACACGTCCCAGTCCTGCTTTTGTATTGAACTTCAGTTGCTGGTCGCAAGGAGTCAAGAGCACTGAAGTTGGCAGCAAATGCATTCCTCATCCGGCCTCCTCTTGGTTCCTTTTGGCCTTCACATAGACCTCTTCTTGTCTTTTTATACAATCCAAATGGTATTCTTTCTTTTTTTTTTTTCTTCCTTTCCCTCAAAACCTGAGCTGAGCTGAGACCAATGAAACCTGAACTTTTATAGTTCCTAGTAGTTGCATTTTAAAAGGTCAGCACTGAGACTTCTTCTGCGTGGCACTAAGGCAAGCATATGTGTATCTTAGGAGGGAAAGAATCGGGGAGAATAATGGCACAGGGTGGACCTTTAGGCACATTTAGCACACTAAACCTTTTTTTCTTTCTTAGGATCCTTTTTGCAAGCTCAGTACTTAACCTGGCTGAACTAGCTGCCCTTCGGCCTGATCTGGGAAAACTGAAAAAGATCTTATATTTCCATGAAAACCAGTTGGTATATCCTGTCAAGAAATATCAGGAGAGAGATTTTCAATATGGATACAATCAAATTCTCTCATGGTAGGTATTGATTGTATACAGTTTGTTGTTTGCCATCTTACTCCCTTTTTCTCAAAACAGGTTTATGGGGTGGGGGATGCATGCACACAGGCCAGAGGAGGACAGTGGGTGCCTTCTGTCCTTCTCTGCTTGTTTCTTTGAGACAGGGTCTCTTCCTAAGTCTGAGGCTCCTGTTTTTCTATGCTAGACTTGAAACTGGCAAGTACCTGACCTCCTTATATCTTTGTCCTGATAGGAGCTGGTATTATAGGCAGGTACTGGGTGTCCAACTTGCTATGTGGGTGCTTGAGTCCGAACTTGAGTCCTCGTGATTTTGAAGCATGTTATTTTTACTAATGGGATATCTTTCCAGTCTCTATATTTTCCATTTTAGATGGCTAGTCTGTAAATCTAAAGACTACAATAAATCTTTAAGTATATTAAGGCAGGCACAAGTATTTAAATATTGTTTCCATAATATTATTATTTGTACTTTTGCAGAATTTATAATAGCATTGCTATTCATTTTGTGAAATATATTCTTACATAGACTAATCATCCAGTTTTACCTTGAACCAGTTATCTTACTGGTTATTTTTACCAGTTATTTTACATAATGTTCAGAATAAAATATAAACTACTGACAAGGATCTTTACCCCTTGATTCCTTAAATTATTATTTATAGAAAAATGAACATGTTTTTTACCAACTACTTTCAGTATGTTCAGCTATAATTTAGTAAAGAAATTAAAATTTAATAGAGCAATGTTTTTGTAGCTCCTATTTTTTGTTATATTCTTTATTTTTGGCCTGTGTATTTAGTTGCATCTAAGGCAGAAACTTTAGAAAATAGAATGTTTCAGTGTTTTTCATTGCTTCTCCCACTGAATCTTCTGAAAAGACAGTCTGAAAATAGCTGCCATTTCAAAGGTGAAAACCTTTTCTATTCTTCCTCCAATATAGTGTCTCTCCTGATGCTTGCTGAAAGAAATTCATTAGCAACCTCATGCCATCTCTCCTGCAGAATCCTGTTGCATCACAGCGCCAGTCACATGGAATCAATTTGGAAGTGATTGCATACATGTTATTCACCGTTTTTAGTAGTTATTAGCTACAGAGATTGATAATGTGTTTGAACAGACCTTGCTAGTCTGTTCCTTAGTTTAGTTGACATAGAAAAACAACTCTAATGCTACTAATTGTTTTGAGCTTTTTGTAAATGTTTTTCTGCAGTCGTTTTTATAAGCCACTTCTATTGTGAGGGAGCACGGCTATCAGAACAGTGGAACTGTGCAGTCAAATGTCTCATAAAAAGCACCCATTCTAAAATCTTATAGGAAATTAAAATACTTCATTTTATCTTAAAATGGCAACAGGAAAATATGTTTTCAAAATGAAAATGAGCTGGAGAGATGGTTCATAGGTTGAGAGCACTGACTGCTCTTCCAGAGGACCAAGGTTCAATTCCCAACCTCCACATGGCAGCTCACACCTATCTGTAATTCCAGTTTTAGGACTTATGACACCCTCGCTCAGACATACAGGCAGGCAAAGCATCAATCAATGAACTGAACATAAAATAAAAATATACTTTATATTTTTAAAAATATGAAAATGAAATTTCTTTGTACATTTATTAATATGTAAAACATTGATAATATTCTTGTGGTTTCTTGAATTAGTAACATTTTATTTTTCAGATTCTGTGGTTTTATTACCCTGAGAAACCATAATGGAGGGATTAAATATCTTTCCCTTTATGTGTGACATTAATGGAAGTTACACCCACTCATATCAGGGAGGAAATATGTGAGAAAGTATATTTCTGTAGACCAATATGAATCTTTAACAACATAGACTAAACGTTTTAGATTAATAGTAGTTGGGTGGTGTGCCTGCTTCAGGCAGATATTAAATAAAGAAAATAGGTCACCCCGCTTTTTTTCCTTTATGAAGAATTGTTTTTTCTCATAAGGAGAGAGACTGAAAACTTGCGTATGATTTTTCCTTATTCCTCCACTCAAGAGGACAAGCTGATAGACAAGCCTGGGGAGAAATAACTGGAATGCATCACCATTTGGCTTTGTAATAGGAAGAAAAAGTTGTCCAAAGGAAAATAGGAATGTCAGAGTGCAGTTCTGCTCCAGCTTTGAAAAGTACAGCTTCTTCTTCAAATGCGTCTTCAGCATTCTTGCTGATTTCTGCTTTTGCTGACACTATCAGCTTTCATTCTGGACTGTGTAGCAGTTTAGGATTTTAAAGATGACTGACCTATGCCATCACCTTAGAGGTTCCACTAATCCTCTGATTTACGAATACATGCTGTAACTATGTAGTGTGACCCGTTGGTCACTATTACAATATGTGACAAATGGTGCAAACGGATGAACTGTAGAACGATCTTCAATTTTTAGTCTATTATTGTGCTGGCTTCCTCATTGCTTAGTTTTGTGTCAGCTCTTCTGTGATATTCATTTGTGGTAGCTGTGTTGTTGCTGTCTCCATCCCCCAAATTTTCACCATGTTGGAGCTGAAAAAGCAACAAACAAACAAAACAGGCAAAAGCAGTTTTAGAGGGGAAGTCAGTGTGTCTACTGTTGGGATTTTGTTCTGTTGTGTACTAATAATAGCAAAGCTATCTGTCTTGGTAAGTATGTTTTAAACTAAGCCAAGTATTATCTTTGGCACTCATTTTATCTGTAAATTCTACTCATTATGATGTTTTTATAGCCTTATGGACATGCGTGCTTTTTCCCAGTCTTACTAAGGTATCATTTCTAAGATGGAATAAAACTGTTTTGTCCTATTTGCCTTCTTATAGAATTGTTCAATAATGCTGCATTATTGGTGAAAACAAATAAGATGTTCTGTTGTAAATATCATGACCAAAACTATTTGGGGAGAAAAGGGTTTATCTTCTCTTACCACTCACAGTCCATCACCCAGTAAATCTGGAGAAAGACTGGAAGTAGAAACTGAGGAACACTGTTTACTGGCTTGCTCCCAGACCTCCTTTTACATAGCCCAGGCCTACCTGTCTAGGGATGGTACCACCCACAGTGGGCTGCACCCTTCCAGGATCAATTAGTAATCAATAAAATGCCATGTAAACAATGTTAATGGGAAGTCTGATGAAGGCACTTCTTCATCTGAAGTTTCCTCTTTGCAGGTGTGAAAAGTTGAAAACCAAGATAGTCATCATAGACATTTTCGAGAATCAAATCTTATTAAATCAGTTCTATTCATGTTATATTTCTGGATTTTATCTAGCGGATGCACAGTTACCATTGTTTTTCATTGGTGCTGGAGACAATGCAATAACCATTAAGAAAATTATTTATTTATGATACCTAAAACCTGCTTTCACGTTTTCTTTAATCAGTGTGTATTGTCTTTTAAAAATACTGAAGAAAAACAGTACATTTGTCAAAATCAATTATTAATGGTGTAATTCTTTTGTTTTTTCTAGAGATCAATGATTGCGGTTAGCTATATATTCCTTTTATATAATAAATTCTAATAGTATGAATATCTGGATGCATTTCACTATTTTTTCTACTTTCTTGACTGTCCTAAGCGTATTACAATACTGAACTAAATTCCATCATTCCATGTAATGCCAGAACCTAAAAACAGTAAAATTTCTTCAAACAAAAGGTTAAAACTAGAAATGGACTTTAACTGAATAGTGCTAAAGGTATCATGACCCCACAGGAAAAGCCTTATGGGAGTTAGTTTCCTCAGAGATGAGGAGGAAGCTGTAAACCTGTCCTCCGTAGTAGACTTCATAGAGACATGCTTGGGCTTGCTCTGCTTGGTAGTGATAATGTGACAAGGTTATGATGTATGGGGAAATAGACATTAGTTTGAAATCTTATTTGATTTCATTCAACTATCTTATTTCTCTCTTGCCTGTCTTCCAGGAAGCCAGCAACCCAACCATCTGTGATGGAATTCTAAGAACTAACGTCCCTGTTAGCAGCTTCATCTATACTAGTGTACAGTGTTACTTGCAAACCTGTGGTAGAGCAGAGTCTGATTAGTATGCAAAGGTCTTAGGCTTTAGAATAACTCTTCATGAACTTGCATTTGCCTTTTCTCTTTACAGTTTGGTGGCTGATGTGGTGGTATTCAATTCCATTTTTAATATGGAATCATTTCTTACTTCCATTGGAAAATTCCTAAAGTTGATTCCTGATCACAGACCTAAGGATCTGGAAAGCATAATCAGACCCAAGTGTCAAGTTATTTATTTTCCCATCAGGTTTCCTGATGTGAGCAGGTCAGTGTGTTTGACTGTATTTTTGAGATTTTATCCTAAATCAAGTGTCTAGAAATTGATATTCTTTTTGCTGACTTTGACTTTTCATTATAAGTATAGTTTAATAGAACTCAGTAGAGTTCTGTCTCTCCATAATGTGATTTATAAAAACTTTTGATGATCAACTTTCCATCCTATCAGGAAATCATTAGTCTAGGTATTGAATTTTTTTGTTTCTTTACTCTTGTTTATTTGTTTGCCAAAGTAGGCACTATGGGTGTAGCAAAAACTGTTTTACTTCTTTTGTGTTACAGAAGTAATTGCCAAGCACTATTTCTCAACTTTTGCATCCAGTTTTGCCCACTGTTTATAATGAATAACAGTAACTCCTTTCGATAAATCTGTATTAAATATCATTTTCTTGGTGATTTTAATGTCTCATTCTGATTCTTTGTTTCTTTTTCTTCATTTTCACAGTTTATATTATTTTTAAAATGAACTAAATGTGGAATTACTGGATTGCAGAAGTACTAACTGTTCCATTTCTTTGTTTCTCTGTACATTTTTCTAACCTGTGCTGCTGGTCTTACCTTGAATTAGAGTGACTGTGTGGTGCAAAGGGAGCAGTGTAGAGCCCTTTGTCACTCTCAGTTAAACTTAGAACAACCTGTGTATACTGCTACTGGAGTGTTAGGAAGTTTTCCTCTTCCCTGGGACTTACGACAGCTTAGGATGCTTGTGTTGTGTAATTGCATCCTTCAAAGGCATTTAGGAGCAGCTCAGTCTCTGTAATATTACTTGTTATATGTGCGTTTTCAGGGCTGATCATCTAATTTTTAAATTTTATTTTTAAAAATATTTTTATATGATATATTTTCTGCCTACTTCTATCAGATCCTTTGTGAATTCATGTTCTCTCTGTCTCACTTTCTTAAAAAGAAAGAAATAGGAAAGAATCAAAAGAAATAAAAACCAATGAGATAAAAATGAATTAATTTACAATTGAATATATAAATAAATAAATACTCAAGCAAAATAAAAAGCACAAAAATCTTATAGAACTCATAGAATGTGGATGATATATTCAGTGTCATTGCATTGGGGAAAACTGGTTTTCCTTTTACCATATTGAATCTTTCCTATGTGTTTGGGATGAAGCTGACTGGATCTTGTTGTATAATATTTTTTATGTGTTTCTGAATTTGTTTTGCAAGTATTTTGTTGAGAGTTTTGCATCTGTGTTCATATGGGATATTGGTCTATAATTTTTTTTTCTTTTCTTCTTTTCTGCCTCCCCCCTCCCCTTTTTTGTCTTGTTGCATCTTTGTGTAGTTTTAGTATCAGGATAGTAGAGACTCCATGAAAAAATATTAGTGAACCTTCAGTTTCTATTTTGCAGAATACTTTACCAAGTATTCACTTTAGTTTATCTTTGCAGGTGTGGTAGAGTTTTGCACTAAATCTATCTGGTCCTTGGCGTTTATTGTTGATTTGGTTTGTTTGTGGTTTGGGGCTTTGATTAGGAGATTATTTTTTTTAATTACTGTTTTTATTGCTCTAGGGGTTTTGAGTCTATTTAAATTCTTCATTTCATCTTGATCTCACTTTGGTAGGTCATGTATGTCAAGAAATTTGCCCTTTTCTTTTAGATTTCCATCTTGGGGATATAGATTTTAAAGTATGTCCCTAAGTATGTCCCTACAGTTCTGTGAATTCTTTGAGTGTCTACTGTAATGTTTCACTTTCATCTGTAATTTTATTGATTTGTATTTTCTCTCTTTTGATTAATTTGATAAAAGATTTGTCATTCTTGTTGATTTTCTCAAAGGAAACCTTTGATTTTATTGATTCTTTGAATTTTATTTTTCTAGTTGTTTTGGTTTCATTAAATTTATTCCTAAGTTTGATTATCTTTTCCTAAATACTCTTTTAAGAAATTATCTCTTATTTTCATATGTCTTTCAAATATAATATTAAATTGTATGAAGTCTCTCTAGTTTCTTGATATATAGACACTTACTGCTATGAATAACCTTCATTGTTTCCTGTAGGTTTAGGTATTTTGTGATTTTGTTTGCAATCAATTCTAAAAACTTTTTAATTTCCTTCTTGATTTTGGTCATTCAGTAGTGAGTTATTCATTTTCCATGATTTTATATGCTTTCTGCCATTTCTTTTGTTGGTATCCACAGTTACATCTTTTAATATCCTTTCTTTGTTTCATACATTTAGTATTTTGATTATTATGTGTCTAAGGAGTTTCTTTTATGTTCCTTTCTAATTGGTGCTTCACATGCATATTTTATCTTGATAGGCCTCTCTTTAGATTGGAGAAATTTCCTTATGTGGTTTTGTGAAAAATATTTTCTGGGTTTGTTCTATCCCTATTTTTTTTATTCATAGGTTTGGTCTTTTCATAGTCTTCCAGATTTCTTGGATTTTTTTTTTTGCCTGTAATTTTTCACATTTAACATTTTTCTTGAGTTAGCTACCTATTTCTTCTACTTTGCTTCCACAACCTGAAATTCTCATATTGACCTTTTAGTCTGGTTGTGAGGTTTACCTCTGTACTTAATACTTGACATCCTCAATTTTTTTATTTTGAGTTTTATTTAAGTTTGTGTTTTTCTTCACTATCCTATTTGTCTATTAAATTCTACATTCATATCTTGAATTGCTTTTGTTAATTCCTTCAACTGTAAAGTCATATATTCATATCCTCTTAAGGTCCTTGAATGTATTTATAATTGTTCTTTTGCAGTCATTGTCTTGTGTTTCAGGTAAATAGTTTTTCTCATGGACTATTAAGGTTGCTGACTGTTGGCGGAGGTATAATGTCTTGCTTCTTCATGTTTGTGGCTTTTGCTCTGCAGTTTAGCCATTAGGAGTTTGAACATTTGAGGTGTACCTGGTTTTGATATCTGGTATTGCCTTTGATAGGTGGTTGTTACATTTTTTGGTTGTTGATCCCAGTCTGTGTATCCCAATTGGCTGTGGGTCCCTAGTAAGATTGTTTCTGCATGTATGTTGGATGTCACTAAGGAAATGGTGATGGGCTAAAAGGAATGGTTGTGTCCTAACCAAGTGTGGTGGCTGCATGGTACTTGTTGGAGAGTCTTTCTGGACCCAGTCACATATGAAGGGCTAGAGGAAAGGCTGAAAGGGGCAGCTGTGATAGACTAGGAGAACCCTGAACTTAGAGGCCAGTTCCAAGCGCTCGGAAGTTGGTTGGGAGATGTTCAGGCAGGAAAGTGGCAGGTCTAAGAGTAGTCTGCAGAGACAGAGATGGAGGAGGCAAGGAGAATAAAAGAAGCTTACTTAACACTAGTCAAGTATTGCCTCAGGTGGGTTCCAGGAAATGGGAAGCTCTGTGAATCAGCAGGGAATCAGATAGGAATGGAGATAGGTTAGTAGGAGAGGGTTTAGTTGTGGGGGGCGGCAGGTGGGACAGAAGGATAGCTAAAATGTCTGTACCAAGGGTTGGAGGTGGGCAGGGAGGAGTGGCTCAGGTGTCTGACTTCTGATTCAAATTTCTGTTTATAGTTCTTTCAGTCATGATAGATCATTTTAAAATTACTGTTGATAGTTCATTTGCTAATTCAAAAACTGTATAGCTAATGAAACTTAGGTCACAATTTTCAAGTATATGTACATTTTCTTGTATGTGTGTGTGTGTGTTTGTATGTATGCTCATTCACTGTCATGTCTTCTTATTCATTTAGAGGTAGTTCTGTGACATCCCAGGGATATAAAAATTTGCACATGCTAAAGTTTCTATAATATATAATATTTTAATTTAACTTATGTACATTTACTGTATATTTTAAGTATTTTAGATTACTTAGAGACTAAAATAATGTCAATAATGTTTATATAGTTTGTTGTAAGGTATTGTTTGGGGAATAATGACAAAAAATGATAAGTTCAATGAAAGCATACACTTTCTCTTCAAATGTTTGACCTGTTGAATCTAAGAAAGAAGAACTCAAGAAAGAGAAAGTTGTATATATGTATATATATTTTACAGATACATATTCTATTATGTATAATGAGGGAGTTTTAACTTTTCAAAGATATAATTTTATAGTTTAAATCTGTTATAGTGAGAGCAAAGTTATATTTAGAGTTTCAGAATATAAGCATTGTTTATAATTTTGATTTTCAAATAACCTTTGAAAAATTTACATATTTGAATGAATATGGGTAGTCACAACTCATCTCAATCTGAGTAGATACTTTGTTTTCAAATTCTTTTGCATCATGTATAGTCCAAAACATCTTATATTTAATGCAGCTGTGACAATCCAATAGCTTATTAATTTTGACTTTAAAGAAATTTTGCTAAATAGAATTTTTGCTAAATTGTATTGGGACCAAGATATTATTTAAGCAGATCTTAGTCCAGAGTGTTATTTATTTTTAAAAAGTAATTTGCCATATACAATTCAAACTCATATAGGATAAGATATTGTTTGCATGAATGACATTCAGCCCAATGTCTGCAGTCTTCAAATTATTATTTGTTGAGATGTTGAAAAATATTTAGCAATTCCAATGACAAAGTGTCCAATAATTAAATGATTCAGGGGTACTCTTCCTTAAAGACTGGCAGAAAAGTTCTGTATGTGTTTTTCTGGTAGACAGTAATTTAGGACTCAAGTTTAATGAAATATCTCTTTTTGTTTCTGTTTTTCTGTTTTCCTTGGCCCCTTCTACCATCACTTCCTGCTTCTCCTTCCTCTTTGTCTCCCTCTCTTCCTTACCATCTATACACACATACACACACACACACACACACACACACACACACACACACACCTCTCCCTTCCTCCTTTTTCCTCTGCACATGCAAACCCACACTTACATGCAACTTCTCCCGCTCCTTTTCCCCCTGTGCATACACAAACTTTCTCTCCCTTCCCCCCTTTCCCCTATACACACACACACACACACACACACACACACACACACACACACACACACACACACCATTAGTATTTGGTTTAAGTTTGATGTGTTCT